GTGGCTGGTAAGCAGCGCTTAGTCGCACACCACCACCGAAAATAACTGTCCTCTAATTGATCAGCACCAACATCCGATTACTCTTCGCAAAGATGACGGATCTAACGTGCACCCTTGATTCACGCATCCACCGTAACACTTGTGTTGTTTATATCCAAGAATCCTGGCTTGACCATAATATCGAGGACTAACTAATTGGAATCAATGGTTTTAAATGCTTCGCTAAGGATAGGAAACACTGTAAGAAGAAAACAGGAGGTGGAGTGATCACGTACATCAACTCAACCTGGAGCAGCAAGTCTGAAATTCTTTTTGATTATTCCACCGATAGTATCTACTGCTTAGCTGTTCAATGTTGCCCTAGATTTTCACGATACAGAAGTACAATCATTACCAACTTATACATAGTTCCCTTTTGTACCCAGTCTCACATTTCATCTTTCTTTGATGATGATGATTCCGTCTTTCGTTCCACTCACAAATGAATAGTCTCTACATCATTGTTGGTGACTTTAATCATACATCCACCTATCCCAAAACTTATTTTGGCTTAACTGATATTTGCTTGTCCCCCACAAGAGGGGATTCATTTTTAGACAAGGTAATTACCAATCACCTAGCATATTTTGCCCTAAAACTCACAGCACCTATTTCCACCAGTGATCACGCACTGATTCTCGTAAGATCCCGTCCCATTCAAAATACACTCACAAGAACCAATCAAATCACCATTCGTCTTTGTAATCTCTCCTCACGAAACACCCTTCTTCTTAAGTGTTCCATTGGTGTCGTTTCTTCGTGGTTTTCTTCTTGTCCCTCTTTACGCAATGCAGTCAACTTATTCACTGAAACACTTAATCACACATTTAACCTATGCTGCCCTTTTGAAACTCTATTTGTTCGTAACTGCAGAATTGCATCTCCACTGCTGAAATCATTCAGAAGACAGAAGGAACGATCGTACAAATCTAGAGACTCAGCGGCTGTCAAGCATTACAACAACTTGATCAAAGCTGAAGTAAAATGACTCTCTGGGTCGTATGCCTCCCAGCTTCTGCGGTGTAATAACAGTAGGCGAATTTTTCAAGGTATCAGATTGCTGTGTGGGACCAAATCCAAAACGTCGAATTGTACAACAGATTTTGACAGTGTTAATGTAGCATTTATCCACCCATCAAGCGATGCAATCGTGCCATTTGCTCTGGACGACGTCGTTTAAGTAGAGGCCGTTTCGAATGAAGAAACTTTTGAGCTTCCGCGTACCGTGAAAACCACGTGCAGTGTTGGTCCCGATGGTCTTTCATCTTCCCTTCTGAGATATAGGGTCTATTCTCTCAGTGAAATATTCACATCATTCTTGTACAATTCCTTAAGAACCTGCTCCATACCAGACTGTTGGAAACCACTGGCAATTGTTCGCATTTCCAAATCCTCTACTTCAAACGTTCTAACCAAACCCTGTCGTCCTATCGTCTTAATCTCTGTTGGACTTAAGCTAACAGAACTTGTTGTTCTTAAGCGCATTCAGTCCTCCATTGATGTCCTGTATGGTCCACTTCAGTTTGCCTATAATCCAAACAAATGCACGCTGGATGCAGTTTCCTCTCTTTTACATAAAATTGCCAAATCCTTGAATGACTCTGCGAAATCTGTTTGTTGTGTGTTTCTGGACTACTCATCTGCTTTTGCTTCTATTCCCCGTTCCCTTCTTCTTCATAAACTGGAGACCTTTGGTTGTCCTAGGCAGTCATTAGCTTGGCTTGCAGATTAGTTTCCGGGAGAACTCAATGTACCAGATTAGATCGGAAGAAATCCAGACCATTATTGAACTATTCTGGGGTACTTCAAGGTGCAGTTCTTTCCCCATACTTATTTTCCACATATATTAGTGACTTATCTACTAGCGCCCCTACTTCTCTCTTCAGATATGCTGATGATGTGGTCGTGTGTCATGTCATCTCCGAATCTTCTGGTCTTTCACAATTTTCTGACAACTTGGATAACGTTCAACTGTTTTCCGCCACATCTGGCCTATCTCTTCATCCCACCAAATGTTTCGAATGTCTCCTTACACTATCACGCTCTTCTTTCCCATGTGAACTGGTATCGATTGGCTCTAAACCAGTATTCTGTATTAAACACCTGGATGTTTTATTGATACTAATCTTCTCACATTCATCATATTGTCAGTAAGCTTCGATAACTTTCTTTTCATATCCGTAAACTTCGTTAGTTTCGTATTCAACGAGCAGTTATTTTCAACTTTGTGTATCAGTGTGTTTTCCCCGTTTTACTTTATTGTTCACCTGTTATTTTTTTATCTCTCAAACAAAGATTCTAAACTGCTTCGACGTGGACTGACCATCATTAGTCGCGTCTCTACAATCCCGCTGAAGGTGTTGATAACTAACCTATGCGAACGTCATTTGAATGCATGTGAAAAGTTTGCGCATAAGATTCTCATCGACTCCACACATCCGCTACACGCAGATCTAACTTCTTGCTGCTCACATCTTTCAACTAGATCTCAATATCGTTGTATTTTCTCTCGAATAAACATATATCGTAACTCTACAATACCCTCATTAGAACGTATTCTAGTTGACAAAGAACAGATTTTCACAGACTTTGTTGACAGTTTTGGGATTTAAACCTCTTTTCTCATTACTATTTGTTTCATTATTTTTATTTTCTCCCTTGCTCCAAACTGTATAGTTTTTTAACTGACATGTAGGCTTCATGCCGACAGAAGTTATTACCATACAATACAATACAATACAATACAATACAATACAATACAATACAATACAATACAATAAAATACAATACAATTACTACGTTGCATGAATGGGGAAGTGGTTCATTCTCTAATTCACTTGCGAATTGACCTATCCGTATTAGACTTTTCGTGCGCAGGCAGACGTACAATCAACGGTTGAACTGTATCCTCCCTCCTCTGACTTTTTTTTTAAGTATCTGTTTGTCCTTTCTGCTGGATTGTTATACGTGTTTTTTACGTGGTTTCTTTCCAGCGCGACTTTTTCCATGCTTTTAACGTAATAGTTCTGTCGTGTGCGTACAAAGTGATATGAATCGCCAGTTGAACCTTATCTGTGTGCGGTCATTGTCACCAAATCTGTCGCAAACATTAAGAAATTAGAACAGCAATCAGCTATTTTGATACCTGTTTGTATTTATCTGAATGGTAATTTTGTCTCTTACCATCAATGAATGTACGCTCAACTTGAACTCGTGAATAATTCCCCCAGGGTGGCTTTATAATCCTTGCTGAAAACACCGTTAACCAGACTCAGCAGCACAGCAAAGGTCCGTCCACTCCGTGAATGCTCTTTATTGGTGGGGGTTGGTATGTCCCAAGTAGACAGTCCCGTTAACAGTGAAATTTAGTGTAAACTTTTCCCGCTTATTTGGCTCGTATGTGATTGACCTGGAATAGGTCTTCAAAAGGATCAATTAACTTGTGGGCATAAGAGGATTAAGTGTCTTTTAAGCACATCAACAGTATGAGCATTAGACGGATGGCACATCTCTTGCACCCAAGCCAAAGGTTGATATCCACTCAACTATATCGAAATGTTTTTTTCATCAAAACTTAAGTGCTTTACATTCGGAAAAAGCGATCGTGAACCATGGTGCTCAAAAGAAGCGGTATACCATAGAACCCATTGCACAGAACGTCCACCGAATCAACCTTTCCGTAGAGTTCACAGACGAGCTATAAACTGACAGACATCTTCAGTACTCCCAGTGACATGCTGATCATTTTATATCTTGAATAATACTAAACGATAAAGAGCAGTGTTATATTTTTAGTGCCGATAAATTATATTATTAGCACACCCGTCTGAATGTGACCACTTTTTATGTTCTCACATTTGCCGCACTGTTGGAGTCCGCTTCACCTATGCTCAGCAAACTGAGAGAAATTTCTATTTAAATGCTAAAAAATTCCCAACGTACGCGTATGATCTCTTACGTCCGTGCACTATTCGAGTGAAAGCTCGGCCAGGGAAACAAATGAGACAGTGTTAGCAATGGTCGCGTTCGTTGTTCCACAGTAATCGAGAATCCTCAGTAGATCATCAATCAACGCATTTTCTTTTTCTTTTCATTTTAATTACTTTTTGAATATACAAAAATACAATTTTCAGGAAGGGAGAAGTGGCTAATCAAAGGGCTATTATTCAGCACACAATGGGAGATCAGACAGTGGTGGTGGGATTCGAACACACAACTCCGGTGTGATAATTTGGTGAAGTTACCACCGGGTCACTACCGCCCGCGGTGATTTCCCACTGCGTAGAATTCATCCTTAGGGAAAACCTATCAATTTAATTGTCATGGTCAAACTGCTCCGCCCATGCAAAGTTGAACTGTGGCCAGGGCTGACCGTCTCTGCTATTTCATGGTGCTAAGTATTCTTGGGAATACTATCGTCTAACCAGATCATTACGTAGGTTAACTCCACTTGAAACTGATGAAAGGTAACCGTATTCAATTGTTTAGTTGATTTAAACGCTTTGAAAATCCCTTTTAAAGCAAACTAAAAATGTAAATGGCGATTGTTTACCAGTTCAGTTCATGGGATATCGCATTGCATAAACTTTAGTAGTTGACTTTTTGAGTGGACTACTCATTAGTAGTACATATATGAAATAGTTATTTGAATAACTAGTTTGGTTATTTGGTGATGGCATTCCCGCCATGAGCCGAACTGGAAAATGACACTGGATTCTTTATTTCAATTCACGTGATGCACGCACACAACTGTCGAAGCTCACAAACAGAATCAGTGCACTCAGGGTGTTTTATCGACCACTTACAACAGTTTGACCGAAATGCCACTGCAGGAGTGCATCATTGATCAGCTGCGGCTAGCAGTTTTCTCATTCACTTATCATTCTATGCTGCTAAAACTATTCTGTGTGACTAATCCACCACGTCAGTTCAAAGCTGATCAGCAGAACTGATCTGAAATCATGATCCGTTACTCACCATGCCTGCTGATATTTATGATCATTTCCAGTCAAACTGGATTGATAGCGCAAAAACCTCGTGTCCCGCTGAATATGTGGCTACCGGGTGTGATGCCTGCAGGATTGTCTAAGTTGAGCCCTACACAAGCATCTGTGCATAATCGACATGATCGCGTGGGGAAACCACTTGTGATGCAGGATCTTAGCCTTTCACCCGGACATTTGGATATGGATGATGAATTTTCTGTACCATACGCATTAAATCTAGCCGTTCGAGACCCAGAACTCAACGAATTCTATCCGACAGATGAGAAGGAGGAGCAGAAACGGGATGAGGATATGAGCCAATCGGATGAGGCACGCGATCGAATTATTGCCTCTAAGCCACTCTATTCATCAACTCCACGACTACTGAGCGGTTATAATTATGGAACTTCAGCGGGCTTGGCCGTGTTCCCCATCTCGTACAAAACCTATCAAGCACCAGCTGTGGTCCCACTGGCTGTACCTGTTGTACAACCATCCCTGACCCCTTTTGTCCAAATGCCTCAGGTGAGTCACACGCACAGTGTGCCTGCTGTTCAACCAACCCTAACACACAGTCAGCAAACGATAACAATCAATGCCCAACTCCCACAACAACAGCAACAGCAGCAGCAGAATCAACAACCCCAGCAGCAGCAGCAACAACAACCCACAAGTGGACAAGGCAGAATGATCATCCCACAATCGATACAACCGCAAGGGGTGATTCAGCCGCAACAAGTTGTTCAACCGGTTGTGCCACCTCAACAGGTATTTCAACCATCGGAAACGCTTCCCGGACAAGGTCGTTTTCAATGGCCCACATCGGTCAATACTCCATCACAAACTGTGCTGCAACAACCGGCACAACAAGTTCAAACAATGCAACAACAACAACAGCAGCAACAGCAACAACACGTTTCCCGAAAGATCACAATTACACACAAGACTTTACCACAAAATATACATATTGTGTTGCCGAAGACTCACGGTTACTATGGTTACAGAAAGTATTAATTTTACCAACTCTCTGAGCAAATATATTCCAAATATCGGTTTGAAGTTGAATTTGGTTATGGGTGAATATACGTTTTGAAATGATATGACATTCTGACTTGAATAAACAAAACAAATAACGAAACGAAAAACTACGTGTATGATGAAACAGGCATTTTCAAATACTTCACGTAATTCGGGGTTGAGTTCACATTACTAAGATATCATTTGAGAACAATGGGCGGTCAGTTTTTCAGTTCTCAAGCGTGTGTTTCCTATTACCACCATCACCACCACCACCGACGACGACGACGACGACGACGACGACGACGACGAAAACAACATCAACAGCAACACGCCCTTTTTGTACACCGATTATCTTGCCTGTGTTTAGATTGCATTTTCGGTACACGTATTCAAACTCCTTTAATAACAAATTCAGGATATTGAGATCGTTTTTATATCAAATACATTTCATATTTGTCTGCCATTCAAGTTCATAATCGAAAGGGATAGTTGAGAATTAAAATTTACACTGGCGTGCACTTTCTGCTCTGGGTTTTGAGGTTCTAACTCGGCATCCGATATCCCAACTTTGGTGCTGGTAGCTTCATGATCAGTGATCTCAATAGTACACCTATCACATTGGGGCAGAAATGCGGTTTATAACTCCAAGCCAAAGGGATCGGATTGCCGTTTTTGCTATGATTTCACAGTAGACGTTCGTAAAGATGCGATTCGCTCGAATACAAAATACCGCGCAGTGTTAGAAGCAGAAATTTTGAAGCTTTTTTCGGTTATTTTCATTTCACGTACAAATTTACCATGGAAATTGGTGTAGTTGTTTTGGTTTATGTCTTTTGGCTGGCAATTTGAATGAAAGAGTAGGGGGAAGAATTAGATTACTGAACGCTGTATTGATAGGTAGATAGAGAATTCATGTAGACTGGGGTTACCCAGAGCAACTGATAACGACGCTCATGTATATCACTCAGAGTCTCTGGTCATTGGGTTACCCTGTTAGAAGGTTTTCATCCAAAAAACCAAAAGCGTGAGGAAGTCTCCTGGTAGGTAATTTTATAGCCGCATACCCAGGTTTAGTTTGACCACCCTCACCTTTCTGGGCCCATTACCTGACCAGCAAGCATTGCATATCATATCAATTTATCTGGAGACTTGTGTAACACATGCCTAGCCAAATTAATCAATGGAGGTCGAGCACTTGCGCTAGCGGGCGGCCATGCTTATTTATAGGTCGGTACCTAAACTCAGAGTTGATTAGTAAGCAATAAAAATGTTGCACAGCATACTGTCTTGTCCCAATATAGCGGTCACCAATGTAATTTGATGTGGACAACGGTAAGCAAACAACTAGGTGCTCCAAATAAGAATGCATGTGATTAAAACTGATATTCGGTGGTTACTTTGGACTCCACAGGCATATGGGATGAGCAGGTGTCGTTAGTTTTAGCATCAGCAAAAAGTCAAAATTTATTGATTTTTATGTTGATACATTGGTTGCAATAAACAACGGTATTTACAACAAGTAACAGTAAACAAGAAATGAAGTGAAATATTAAAGAAAAAGAGAGCAAACGTCAGAATGTCACAATCTGTTTTTATCCTGATCCCGTGACGGCCAAGCCTTCGAATCATATTGCAGCACTGGCAAAGCTGCCACCCTTCAAGAACATTCGCATGTCGCGACAGCGCGAGGGATGTCCCTACTTGGCAAATGTCAATCGAGCCTTCTGTATGCTCGTTGGCATTTCACCCACGATGTGGATGAGTTCACAGGCTGAAGTATAGTCTACAAGCAATTCAAGTTGAGTCGAAATCACAGAATACAAAAATAATTATTTTTAAAATGAATATTTAGTTTTAAAATTTGATTAATCGCAAAATGAATAAAACGACAGACATGAAGAATTTATCATTCCGATTCACGGAGAATATGAGCACAATTTTAAGGGTATTGGTGAAGTCATTGTCAAAAACAACTCCGCAGAATAAACTTATTGCTCGAAGTAATTTGATATCCAAAACCACGAGAAATTTTGTGAGAAAACAATCAAGAATTGAGTTGACTGCACGTACCCATATCGTTATTGTTAGATCGACCGGTACTGATTGCCATCACGCACGCACATCTGCACGTCACCCTGGTGGGTTGATTTATCCGACGATCGATTTGATTCGGTCAATCGGACGCCAGTATTGATTTGTCCGCACTGAATGATCTGTAGCCTGTTGAACCGTTGCCCTGCTTACCCGCACCCTGAGTGCGTGTCTGGAATACGCTTGCCATTTTTCAGCTCGCCGGCCCACCCTCCCACCCGCCTACCTACCTGTATGCTTGCTTGTTGAATTGTGTGCCTGCAGATTTACCTGCGTTTTCACCTGGGGTGATTACTCACATACTGCTAATAAATAGAGCTAGACATTTACTGTGATCTTCTTACAAATTTTCACATTGTGGGCAAGGTTCGGACCTCTCCAGTGAAACTACAAATAGGATTAAGCGTAGGAGTGATATCCACGTCTCATGCCTATCCCTGAAAATTGTTGAAAGCTCTATTTCACCCAACCAGTTAGGAATCATGAGCAGGGCTTTTGACTGTTCAAACTCGGACATGTCGGGGTTCGAGTCTAGTTGGGTATCACAGGGCTACCCAGGAGCTGGCTCAGTTAAACAATTTTACGTCACTGTAGTTCACATCCGATTATTGTTTTGTTCCAAAGTTCAATTAACGGAACACATTAGAGTTCACAGGTGTCACTCAAAGAATTTGGCAGAAAACATTCTATGCTAAAAGTTTCTTTGCAACGAGTTTCTTGTTTTGTGGAAGATCTACTTGTACGATGCTGTGGAATACCACTTAAGTTTCACATCAACAGCCAAACTGAGAATAAAAAGAAGTCATTGCTATAGTGACTCGGTCACGAGTTTTCAACTTTGAAACTTTTTCCATAAGGAATATTGTACCGTGATTTATTGAGCATACAGTTTGACCTCAGAAGTGATATATATATATATATATATATATAATGTATGTTGCTCTTCAGCTCACAGCAAACGTAATTACCATACACCATCGACGATGCAAAATGTAATGGCAACTATTCTTTTGACATCATCGGGTAATATGGTGTGAGTCATATTTCACTGTCGCATGCTGATGAAACTACTAGTCTGGTTTTGCAGTATTATTATTCGGAAACGTGCTGCCTGTACATAACCGTAACCGAGGTAGCAACTACAGCATGAATTGCATGAGATTGTGTCTCGATTCATTAGTTATCTGAGCCCTGGAAACCAATAAAGGAGAAAGATAAGGTATTACGGAATTGTGAAAAAATGTGGGACGTGTGTATAAAGGTTTAAATTTATCCAGGGTGACAAAAGTAGAGATAAATATGATGTTTAATGTGAAACATGAGCTTTCCGACTTTAAGACATGCGTGTTGCATGTGGTAGAAAAATTTGAGGTCAGCAACCAGAAAGCATTCAAAGTGTTTGAAATGCAGTGACTTTTCAACGGTTGAGTAGTTGGTAACGGATGATCCGGAATAAGTAGATGACCAACGATCAGGTGAAAACAAGACTTCAATGCGTTTGGTGGGGCTGTAGGAAAGATTGACAGTGAATGTTCTTTCTTTTTCTTTCTTCCTCGTTTTTACTTCCTATTTATTGAATACATAACGGTACAATTTTCAGGATATGGGAAGCGGTGATGGGATTCAAACACATCCACCGGAGTTTCAATTTGTAACGTTACCACCGGGCCGCCACCGATCCGTTGATGGAATAGTTGTTGTCGGATGCGCCAATACCGCCAACCTCCAAGTCGTTGGCATACTCAGGTTTGAAAACAGATGGGATTAGAGGTAAATTTTGAAGGTGAAGAGAGAATGGAAAAGCGGATAAATTTGCGCTCTAGTCCACCTTGGTTTATTTACACAGACAGAAGACCTGATACTGCCAAGACATGTGCACTGGCATCGATCGGCTAAATAGTCGCACATTCACTTAAACAGATGTGTCGGGAGTTTATTTTGCTTTAATAATACTCAGGTAGTCAAACCAAACCTTTTCTCTTCGGACCATTTACGATATTGCGCAGCCCCCATGTAACAGATAGTCATGTCCAGAATAGTCCCAACCCAGTCATAAAACTGAAGGCTGCTGCGGAAATGAGCAAGTTGGAGCATTCACAACAATCTCGTAAAGATGGACTATGCTGGTGTCGGGTAAAGATAAAAGAAAAATGGTCTGTCTGGCAGTCAAGTGGGTAGTAGGCTTGTGTTCTGCCCATGGGGTCCCTGGTTCCATTTTTCCACGTGGGGTGATGGATTCACCCAGCCGATGGGATCGGATCACGTCGAAGCAGCTGTCTACGGGTGCTTCCCAGTTTTTCAGTTAACGCTTCGGTTGGTCTGTACTCAAAAAATCGCCCAAAATGCTTAGTCAACCCCTTTGGTGTATTTTTGTGAGCACCGTGCTCTACTCTGTCTATGATCGTTGTTTCTCTATCCTATACATTATATCCCCAATCGTCATGTCATATGAATATTCATCAACCGTTTTTCTACCCCCATGTCATGTACTATCCTGTTGTCAGTCCCAGTCACATGTGATGAGAACTGCACACCTTGCAAATACGCCCTCATTTATCATCTCACCTTGTTCTGTTTGAACTGTACGACTGGACCAACATTTGCGATGAATAATAGGCGCGCCCTTCTTTGTGGAGCTACTGTGACTGATGCTCCCTATCTCTTTGAGGCTACTATCCTTGTACCTTCTTTGGATTCATTTTGATGTCCCCTTTGTGAACGTCACTGCTTTATGCTGTGCTTCGCTGGTATCCTCAGACCCGGATTGCCTTATAACTCAAGGTATATTATTTTGATGGATTTGACCGACTATCCTTTGGACTTCACCTTTACGCACAATCCTCAGCTCACCGATTCAACCATACACTCGGAAGCACTAGACTCGAGTTTCGCTCTTATTAGAG